CCTCCGAGCACCGTCCCTTGGTTCCACTCCCTACCCCCTCCGAGCACCGTCACTTGGTTCCACCCCCAACCAACTCTGAGGACCGTCCCTTGGTTCCACTCCCTACCCACCTCCGAGCACCGACACTTGGTTCCACTCCCTACCCACCTCCAATCACCGTCACTTGGATCCACCTCCAAGCACCATCATTTGGTTCCACTCCCTATCCACCTCCAAGCACCGTTACTTGGTTCCACCCCTGAGCACCGTCCCTTGGTTCCACCCCCTACCCACCTCTGAGCACCGTCACTTGGTTCTACCCCTTGCACACCTCTGAGCACCGATACTTGGCTCCACCCTCTACCCAACTCTGAGCACCGTCACTTGGTTCCGCCCCCTACCCACCTCCCAGTACTGCCCCTTTTAGAGTATACAGAGCCAAGTATCACATTGTTCTGCTGCGTAATATGGAATCTGTTAATAACAAGAAAAGCAGTAAAATAGATCCCCCTGGTGACAATAGAATATACACACACACATATATGTATAACTAAATAAAACACACACATATATATATATATATATATATATATAAAACTAAATAAAACACACACATATATTATATATACACATGGGGGGTCTAACTATAAAACGTATAAACTGAATGAAATTTCACTGTATGTTTTTGAATAGATTGACTCCTGTATCACCGGCTCCATCTAGTGGCCAAAATGCGGTATCGTATTCTGAAATGTCTCAATGAGAAAACATACCATGTTTTGGTCACTAGATGGAGCCCGTGATACAGCGGTCAGTCTATTCAAAGACACAGTAACATTTAGTTCAGCCTGAAGGAATGTTTCTGACATCAAATGTTTAATAAACAGACCCTATAGAGTACGCTCAGCCCGGGTTCACACTGATGCAGTGCGGAATTTGTGTTTTCAGTGCGAATTACGCACCACATCAGAATCGCACCCCGTTCATGCAAACCCATGCGGGTGTGTATGTTAACAACACCCCAAAAGCGGTCCGCAAAACGCGGTGCGATGTGCAGAATCGGATCGCATAGGTGTGGTTACCCATGTGATCTGATTCTAGTGTGGACCCAAAAAAGGGTCCTGCGCGTTTTTGGTGTGGTGCGATTAGAGCCAATCAAAATGTACGGCTCTGACCGCACCGCACACAAATCGCATGTGATTGGCACAGGAGTGCGGTGCGGTTCCGGTGTGAATCACATGCGATATGCCGCACCGCACATATGTGAACCCGGGCTCAGACAGAAACCTGAGTTGTATATTTGCGCCTATCAGTGGGAACGCTCAGAGGGCGCTTTGTGCTCAATGACTTACTCCAGGACTGAAGGGTTTTAGCCGTTTATTTTATTTCCATGTTATAAATTCCATAGATTATATATTCATATATTAAAGACAATAAACTGTTTCTTCTTTCAATCCCTTTAAACAGTAAAATCAAAAATAGCAAAAATTTAAAAAAATACATTCCATATATATAGTACATTCATATATTCTAATAATAAAGTGAATTCTTCCCGAAAATCCCTTTACACCCCAAAATCAAGAACAGTAAATTAAAAGGCACATGTCTGGTGGATAAATAGGGTTGGCTAGAAACATTTTGTTTTTCAGGATTATTTAGTAATCATTTGTTCTTTAAAATAGAACCAAAAACAAAACTTTTTCATTTTGAATGGAAAAAGGAAGGGTTAGAACCCCTGTGGGCTTTACTTTTGCCATCTGTTTCCCCATTGGGGAGATTTCTTTTCGCTTCCCATCCCATAGCCAAAACAGGAAGCGAGAGGAAGTCACTCCACAGTGAGGAACCCCAGAACTCGTGTCCCCACTAAGGTGTAGCACCGAGGCGTGTAGGAGGGAGGGTGTAGCACTGAGGGGTGTGTGGGGGAGGGTGTAGCACTGAGGAATGTGTGTGTGTGTGTGAGGGGGTGGGGTAGCACCAGGGGGTGTAGGAGGGAGAGTGTAGTACTGAGGGATGTGGGGGGGAGGGTGTAGCACTGAGGAGTGTAGGAGGGAGGGTGTAGCACTGAGGGGTGTAGGAGGGAGGGTGTAGCACTGAGGGGTGTGGGGGGGGTGTAGCACTGAGGAGTGTAGGAGGGAGGGGTGTAGCACTGAGGGGTGTAGGAGGGAGGGTGTAGCACTGAGGGGTGTGGGGGGGGGGGTGTAGCACTGAGGGATGTAGGAGGGGGGATGTAGCACTGAGGGGTGTAGAAGGGAGGGTGTAGCACTGAGGGGTGTGGGGGGGGGAGGGTGTAGCACTGAGGGGTGTAGGAGGGAGGATGTAGCACTGAGGGGTGTGTGTGGGTAGGGTGTAGCACTGAGGGGTGTGGGGGGGGGGGTGTAGCACTGAGGGGTGTGGGGGGGGGGGGGGGGTGTAGCACTGAGGAATGTAGGAGAGAGGGTGTAGCACTGAGGAATGTAGGAGAGAGGGTGTAGCACTGAGAGGTGTAGGGAGGAGGGTGTAGCACTGAGGGATGTAGGAGGGAGGGTGTAGCACTGAGGGGGTGTAGGAGGGAGGGTGTAGCACTGAGGGGGTGTGGGGGGGAGGGTGTTGCACTGAGGAATGTAGGGAGGAGGGTGTAGCACTGAGGGGTGTAGAGGGAGGGTGTAGCACTGAGGGATGTAGGAGGGAGGGTGTAGCACTGAGGGGTGTAGGGGGGAGGGTGCAGCACTGAGGGGTGTAGGGGGGAAAAGTAGCAAGGGGTGTAGGAGGAGGGAGGGTGTAGCACTGAGGGGTGTAGGAGGGAGGGTGTAGCACTGAGGGGTGTAGGAGGGAGGGTGTAGCACTGGGGGTGTGGGGGGGGTGTAGCACTGAGGAGTGTAGGAGGGAGGGTGTAGCACTGAGGGGTGTAGGAGGGAGGGTGTAGCACTGAGGGGTGTGGGGGGGGAGGTGTAGCACTGAGGGATGTAGGAGGGGGGATGTAGCACTGAGGGGTGTAGAAGGGAGGGTGTAGCACTGAGGGGTGTGGGGGGGGGGGAGGGTGTAGCACTGAGGGGTGTAGGAGGGAGGATGTAGCACTGAGGGGTGTGTGTGGGTAGGGTGTAGCACTGAGGGGTGTGGGGGGGGGGGTGTAGCACTGAGGGGTGTGGGGGGGGGGGGGGGGGGGTGTAGCACTAAGGAATGTAGGAGAGAGGGTGTAGCACTGAGGAATGTAGGAGAGAGGGTGTAGCACTGAGAGGTGTAGGGAGGAGGGTTGTAGCACTGAGGGATGTAGGAGGGAGGGTTGTAGCACTGAGGGGGTGTAGGAGGGAGGGTGTAGCACTGAGGGGTGTGGGGGGGAGGGTGTAGCACTGAGGGGGTGTGTGGGGGGGAGGGTGTTGCACTGAGGAATGTAGGGAGGAGGGTGTAGCACTGAGGGGTGTAGAGGGAGGGTGTAGCACTGAGGGATGTAGGAGGGAGGGTGTAGCACTGAGGGGTGTAGGGGGGAGGGTGCAGCACTGAGGGGTGTAGGGGGGAAAGTAGCACTGAGGGGTGTAGGAGGGAGGGTGTAGCACTGAGGGGTGTGGGGGGGGTGTAGCACTGAGGAGTGTAGGGGGAGGGTGTAGCACTGAGGGGTGTAGGAGGGAGGGTGTAGCACTGAGGGGTGTGGGGGGGGAGGTGTAGCACTGAGGGCTGTAGGAGGGGGGATGTAGCACTGAGGGGTGTAGAAGGGAGGGTGTAGCACTGAGGGGTGTGGGGGGGGGGGGGTTCGTAGGGTGTAGCACTGAGGGGTGTAGGAGGGAGGATGTAGCACTGAGGGGTGTGTGTGGGTAGGGTGTAGCACTGAGGGGTGTGGGGGGGGGGTGTAGCACTGAGGGGTGTGGGGGGGGGGGGGGTGTAGCACTGAGGAATGTAGGAGAGAGGGTGTAGCACTGAGGAATGTAGGAGAGAGGGGTGTAGCACTGAGAGGTGTAGGGAGGAGGGTGTAGCACTGAGGGATGTAGGAGGGAGGGTGTAGCACTGAGGGGGTGTAGGAGGGAGGGTGTAGCACTGAGGGGGTGTAGGAGGGAGGGTGTAGCACTGAGGGATGTAGGAGGGAGGGTGTAGCACTGAGGGGGTGTAGGAGGGAGGGTGTAGCACTGAGGGGGTGTAGGAGGGAGGGTGTAGCACTGAGGGGGTGTGGGGGGGAGGGGTGTTGCACTGAGGAATGTAGGGAGGAGGGTGTAGCACTGAGGGGTGTAGAGGGCGGGAGGGTGTAGCACTGAGGGATGTAGGAGGGAGGGTGTAGCACTGAGGGGTGTAGGGGGGAGGGTGCAGCACTGAGGGGGTGTAGGGGGGAAAAGTAGCACTGAGGGGTGTAGGGGGAGGGTAGCACTGAGGGGTGTAGGGGGAGGGTGTTTGTAGCACTGAGGGGTGTAGGGGGGAGGGTGTTGCACTGAGGGGTGTAGGGGGGAGGCTGTAGCACTGAGGGGTGTAGGGGGGAAAGCAGCACTGAGAGGGGTTGCAGCAGGGCTAGGCCAAGGGATAGGCAGAAGAGTCAGCTACCCTGGGCCTGCAGCCTAAGCTGCTGAAGTAGCTCATAGCTGGGGGGTGGGGGGGAGGGTGTCGCACTGAGGGGTGGGGGGGGGGGGGAGGGGGGTACTTGGGCCTTTTTGATGTCGGTGCTCAAGGGCCTTGTTGTGACACTATCAATAGTCTTTTTTTTTTGCCTCTCCTGACCACCTCTGGACATTCGTGGACCAAACTTTGCAAATGAAAGTAGGAGGAAGGGTTACTTAGAGGAGTCAGAAGACTCCCTGCAGTTCAGTCATGAAGCCATCTTTGGTTTCTCTTGTCCTTTAATAGAAGCAGACGGCAAGCTTCCTAAAACAAACCCACAAGGGGCGGAGCTTGTACAAAAAAGGGCATCAATATTTTAAAAAAAGTGTTCTCGGGGCACCACCAGGCCCCGTGTAGCCAGAACCCTCAAATGTCACGCTGACTAGACCTGTACCCATAATGCCTCAGTGTGGTCGATGGCAGTAGGTCTACCCACAATCCTGTGCTGCGGCGCGGCTTGTGACTTTTAGCCCTTGCCCTCGCCCCAGTTTCCCCAGGTTGTGAATGGCTTTGTTTTCCAGCAGCTCCACCTTCTTATCGCTCGGGATGGCGGCGTTATTCAGCATGGCTTTCACCAGGGTGGTGATGGGCACGGAGTAGGCCGTAGGGAACATGTAGGATATGGGGGCCATCATCTTCCTGATGAACCACTCGGCTGGGCGAGACTCTTGTCGGTCACAAAGGAGGACGCTGTACAAAGAGGAAGAGGGCATGCTATGGGTATTATGGAGGCATTGTAGTCCTTCAAGTAGCAATCTGAGCTCCCCCTCCGATCAGTGACTCGGCAGCTCAGCTCCCCCTCCCAGCAGTGATTCATCAGTTCAGCTCCTCCTCCCAGCAGTGACTCGGCAGCTCAGCTCCCCCTCCCAGCAGTGACTCGGCAGCTCAGCTCCCCCTCCCAGCAGTGACTCGGCAGCTCAGTTCCCCTCCCAGCAGTGACTCTGCAGCTCTGCTCCCCTTCCCAGCAGTGACTCGGCAGCTCTGCTCCCCCTTACTTTTCCCCCAAAGTGTCTCAGCAGCTCAGCTCCCCCTCCCAGCAGTGACTGAACTGCTTAGTTTCCCCCTCATGGTAGTATTTCAGCAGCTCAGCTTCTCCTCCCAAGTTTCTCAGCAGCTCAACTCCCTCCTACCAGCAGTGACTCAGACGCTCAGCTGCCCCCCATCAGCAGCTCAACCTCCCCTACCAGTAGTGTCTCAGCAGCTCAGATCGCCCCTTCCAGAAAGGATTCAGGAGCTTAGTTGCTTAGTTCCCAACCCAGCACTGACTTAGAAGCTCAGCCCCCCCCCAGCAGTGACTCAGCAGCTCAGCCCCCCCCCCCCCCCCCCCCCCCCCTCGGCAGTAGCTCAGCAGCTCAGCTCCCCCCCCCCACCCCAGCAGCTCAGCTACCTTTACCAGTAGTGTCTCAGCAGCTCAAATCCCACCTCCCAGAAAGGAACCAGTTGCTTAGTTCCCCCAACCCAAGCACTGACCCAGAAGCTCAGTCGTCCCCCCTTCCTCCCACCATAATTGACTTCGCAGCGCAGCTTCCCCTCCCAGCAGTGACTCTACAGCGCAGCTACCCTCCCTTCAGAAGTGACTCAGCAACTCAGCTCCCCCCCTCCCAGCAGTGACTCAGCAGCTCAGCTTCCCCCTCCCAGCAGTCACTCAGCAGCTCAGCATCCCCCCCAAGCAGTGACTCAGCAGCCCAGCTACCCCTCCCAGCATGGACTCAGCAGCTCAGTTCCTCCTCCCATAGGTAGTGACTCAGCAGCTCAGCTCCCCCTCCCAGTAGTGACTCAGCAGCTCAGCTCCCCCTCCCAGCAGTTACTCAGCAGCTCAGCTTCCCCTTCCATCAGTGACTCAGCAGCTCAGCTCCCCCCCCCCCCAGCAGTGACTCAGCAGCCCAGCTTCCCCCCCCCCAGCAGTGACTCAGCAGCCCAGCTCCCCCCTCCCAGCAGTGACTCAGCAGCCCAGCTCCCCCCCCCAGTATCGACTCAGCAGCTCAGCTCCCCCCTCCCCCAACAGTGCTGATTGCCTATAAGTTGGTGTGGGAGATTTATACTCACGCTGGCCTGAAGATGGTGTATCGATCAAATCCCATTTCTTCTATTTCAGCTTCGACTTCTCCCTGATAACAGGAGAGGAAATATATGAATGTCAGTTATGAAGATTAATACCCCGTGCCTGGCTCCCTGCACCCTCCAAGATTAATACCCCATGCCTGGCTCCCTGCACCCTCCAAGATTAATACCCGTGCCTGGCTCCCTGCACCCTCCAAGATTAATACCCTGTGCCTGGCTTCCTGCACCCTCCAAGATTAATACCCGTGCCTGGCTCCCTGCACCCTCCAAGATTAATACCCCGTGCCTGGCTTCCTGCACCCTGCAAGATTAATCCCCCGTGCCTGGCTCCCTGCACCCTCCAAGATTAATACCCCCCCCAAGATGCCTTGGCTCCCTGCATTAATTACCTGGCTCCCTGCACCCTCCAAGATTAATACCCTGTGCTTGGCTCCCTGCACCCTCCAAGAATAATACCCGTGCCTGGCAGGAGAAAAAAAAAAAGTAAAACGTTTGTAGAGGCAGCACTGCGCACACCCACGTGAGAGCGATCATTCTAGCGCCATAATTCACGGTTACCTCTAAACTGATAACCTGTAAAGGTTTATAAAGTGTTGCCTATGAAGCATTTTGGGTACTGATGTTTTGCTCCCTTTCACCGGTGCATGTCCTTTTAAGGCTTGACATGTTTGGTATCTATTTACTTGATGCAACTTCCATCTTTTATTAGTATTCCAACCAGATATTATATAATGCTTGCGTGCACTAAAATTCATTTTTAGGTTTTTTTTTTTTCTCTGAAAATATGCATTGATAATTAATTGTGCAAAATGTCGTGCAACATGAACATTTTTTTTTAAAAACTTGCAGCTGCCACCATTTTATTCTACGGGGCCGCCGGACAGTGGCAGTGCAGGGGTGGGTGGTTGTTTATAAACGGCCTCCCCGACTCCTGTTTGTGCGCGCTCCCTGGGAGCGCGCGCAGCACCACAATCCAGTGCCCGCTGTGTCCTCCGGACACAGTGGAACACCGATCGTCGTACGGGACCTCTGTGCGAGGTCCCGATCGTGTGATCACTGATTGGCCAATCAGTGATCACATGCAGAATAGTAAGCAAGATGTCACTTCTGACATCATTGCTTACTACGTGTGAAATCTGTGAACGATCACAGAGGTCACATGGTACAGGGCCATTCACAACAGCCTTGTACCATGTGACAAGCTGTGACCAATCACAGCTCACACAGTAGTTCTCAATGACTGCAAGAATGCAGACAGAGAGAAAGAAAAATGATTGCTTTTACAGCCTTTATGGGTGTAAAAGCAATCAGTGTAAAAAAAAAAAAAAAAAATCTTTATCACCCCCCACAAGTAGTACAGTGTCACCATGGTGACAGGTGACAGTATATAAAAATAAATAAATAATATAAAAAAAAGAAAATGTAAAAAAAAAAGTTTTTTAAAATTATAATTTTTGGTTATAAACTAATTTGGTTTATTTTTCTTGTTACTAAAAAGATAACGGAATATATTTTGGCCAAGATTTATGATGAAATATTATTTATTTGCAAAATGTTATAAGAAAAACACTTTTTTTCAAAATTTTGGGACTTTTTCATTTACATAGCAAAACAAATTAAAAATCCCAGCGGTGAATAAATACCACCAAAATAAAGCTTTATCTGTCTCAAAAAAATGCTAAAAATTCATATGGGTACAGTGTTGCATGATCGCGCAATTGTTATTCAAAGTGTGACAGTGCTGAAAGCTGAAAATTGGCCTGGAAAGGAAGGGGGGGGAAAGTGTCCGGACTGGAAGGGAGGGAAAAGTGTCCGGACTGGAAGGGGGGGAAAAAGTGTCCGGACTGGAAGGGGGGGAAAGTGTCCGGACTGGAAGGGGGGGAAAGTGTCCAGACTGGAAGGGGGGGGGGGGGGAAGTGTCCCAGACTGGAAGGGGGGGGGGGAAAGTGTCCGGGACTGGAACTGGAAGGTCCGGACTGGGGGGGGGGGGAAGTGTCCGGACTGGAAGGGGGGGAAAGTGTCGGACTGGAAGGGGGGGAAAGTGTCTGGACTGGAGGGGGGGGGGGGGGAAGTGTCCGGACTGGAAGGGGGGGAAAGTGTCCGGACTGGAAGGGGGTGAAAGTGCCCAGACTGGAAGGGGGGGAAAGTGTCCGGACTGGAAGGGAGGGAAAGTGTCCGGACTGGAAGGGGGGGAAAGTGTCCAGGCTGGAAGGGGGGGGGGGAAAGTGTCCGGACTGGAAGTGGGGGGGGGAAGTGTCCGGACTGGAAGGGGGGGAAAGTGTCTAGACTGGAGGGGGGGGGGAAAGTGTCCGGACTGGAAGGGGGGGAAAGTGTCCGGACTGGAAGGGGGTGAAAGTGCCCAGACTGGAAGGGGGGGAAAGTGTCCGGACTGGAAGGGGGGGGGGGGGAAGTGTCCGGGACTGGAAGGGGGGGGGGAAAGTGTCCAGACTGGAAGGGGGGGGGGGAGGAAAGTGTCCGGACTGGAAGGGGGGGGGGGGGGAGTGTCCGGACTGGAAGGGGGGGGGAAAGTGTCTGGACTGGAGGGGGGGGGGGGGGAAGTGTCCGGACTGGAAGGGGGGGAAAGTGTCTGGACTGGAGGGGGGGGGGGGGGGGAAAGTGTCTGGACTGGAGGGGGGGGGGGGGGGGAAGTGTCCGGACTGGAGGGGGGGGGGGGGGGGGGGGAAGTGTCCGGACTGGGGGGGGGGGGGGGGGGAAGTGTCCGGACTGGAGGGGGGGGGGGGAAAGTGTCCGGACTGGAAGGGGGGGGAAAGTGTCCGGACTGGAAGGGGGGGGGAAAGTGTCCGGACTGGAAGGGGGGGAAAGTGTCCGGACTGGAAGGGGGGGGGGAAAGTGTCCGGACTGGAGGGGGGGGAAAGTGTCCGGACTGGAGGGGGGGGGAAGTGTCCGGACTGGGAGGGGGGGGAAAGTGTCGGACTGGAAGGGAGGGAAAGTGTCCGGACTGGAAGGGGGGGAAAAGTGTCCAGGCTGGAAGGGGGGGGGGGGGAAAGTGTCCGGACTGGAAGCGGGGGGGGGAAAGTGTCCGGACTGGAAGGGGGGGAAAGTGTCTGGACTGGAGGGGGGGGGGGAAGTGTCCGGACTGGAAGGGGGGGAAAGTGTCCGGACTGGAAGGGGGTTGAAAGTGCCCAGACTGGAAGGGGGGGGGGGGAAAGTGTCCGGACTGGAAGGGGGGGGGAAGTGTCCGGACTGGAAGGGGGGGAAAGTGTCCAGACTGGAAGGGGGGGGGGAAAGTGTCCGGACTGGAAGGGGGGGGGGGGGGAAAGTGTCTGGACTGGAGGGGGGGGGGGGGGGGGGGGAAGTGTCGGACTGGGGGGGGGGGGGAAGGAAAGTGTCCGGACTGGGGGGGGGGGGGGGAAAGTGTCTGGACTGGAGGGGGGGGGGGGGGGGGGAAGTGTCCGGACTGGAGGGGGGGGGGGGGGGGGGGCGGAAAGTGTCCGGACTGGAGGGGGGGGGGGGGAAAGTGTCCGGACTGGGGGGGGGGGGGGGGAAGTGTCCGGACTGGAGGGGGGGGGGGAAAGTGTCCGGACTGGAAGGGGGGGAAAGTGTCCGGACTGGAGGGGGGGGAAAGTGTCCGGACTGGAGGGGGGGGGGAAAGTGTCCGGACTGGAGGGGGGGGGGGGGGGAAGTGGAAAGTGTCGGACTGGAGGGGGGGGGAAGTGTCCGGACTGGAAATGGGGGGTGAAAGTGTCCGGGACTGGAGGGGGGGGGGGGAAAGTGTCTGGACTGGAAGGGGGGGAAAGTGTCCGGACTGGAAGGGGGGGGAAAGTGTCCGGACTGGAGGGGGGGGGAGGAAGTGTCCGGACTGGAGGGGGGGGGGAAAGTGTCCGGACTGGAGGGGGGGGGGGGAAAAGTTGTCCGGACTGGAGGGGGGGGGGAAAGTGTCCGGACTGGAGAGGGGGGGGGGGGGAAAGTGTCCGGATGGAGGGGGGGGGAAAGTGTCCGGACTGGAAGGGGGGGAAAGTGTCCGGACTGGAGGGGGGGGGGAGGAAGTGTCCGGACTGGAGGGGGGGGGGGAAAGTGTCCGGACTGGAGGGGGGGGGAAAGTGTCCGGACTGGAAGGGGGGGAAAGTGTCCGGACTGGAGGGGGGGGAGGAAGTGTCCGGACTGGAGGGGGGGGGGGGGGAGAAGGCGAGTGTCGGACTGGAAGGGGGGTGTTGAAAAGTGTCCGGACTGGAAGGGGGGGTGAAAGTGTCCGGACTGGAGGGGGGGGGGGGTGAAAGTGTCCAGACTGGAAGGGGGGGGGTGAAAGTGTCCGGACTGGAAGGGGGGGTGAAAGTGTCCGGACTGGAAGGGGGGGGGTGAAAGTGTCCGGACTGGAAGGGGGGGTGAAAGCGTCCGGACTGGAAGGGGGGGTGAAAGCGTCCGGACTGGAAGGGGGGGTGGAAAGCGTCCGGACTGGAAGGGGGGGGTGAAAGCGTCCGGACTGGAAGGGGGGGTGTGAAAGCGTCCGGACAGGAAGGGGGGGGGAAAGCGTCCGGACAGGAAGGGGGGGAAAGCGTCGGACTGGAAGGGGGGAAAGCGTCCGGACTGGAGGGGGTGAAAGCGTCCGGACTGGAAGGGGGGGAAAGCGTCCGGACTGGAAGGGGGGGAAAGCGTCCGGACTGGAAGGGGGGGGAAAGCGTCCGGACTGGAAGGGGGGGGGGGAAAGCGTCCGGACTGGAAGGGGGGGAAAGCGTCCGGACTGGAAGGGGGGGGGGGAAAAGCGTCCGGATGGAAGGGGGGGAAAGCGTCCGGACTGGAAGGGGGGGGGAAGCGCTCCGGACTGGAAGGGGGGGGGGGGAAAGCGTCCGGACTGGAAGGGGGGGGGGGGGGGAAAGTGTCCGGACTGGAAGGGGGGGAAGTGGACTGGAAGGGGGGGGAAAGTGTCCGGACTGGAAGGGGGGGGAAGTGTCCGGACTGGAAGGGGGGGGAAGTGTCCGGACTGGAAGTGATGAAAGTATAATGCCCTTTTGGACATGTTTGCGAAAATGAAAAAAAGAATTGTCCCAGCAGAAAAAGTGGTTAAAGCGGAGTTCCTCCCAAAAGGGGAAGTTCCATTTTAAGCCGTTGTCCCCCGCTCCCCATTAAGGATTGGCACCTTTGGGGAGGGGGGGAGGGCAGGTACCCGAATTTGGCAGTTACCGCTTCTGCTGGGATCACCTAGGCGCTCAGAAGCGGAAGTTGTCCTCCTACCCTCCCTCCCCGAAGTCTTGTGGGACACGTGACAGGTCCCAGAAGACACTTGCGCATGCGCAGAGGGTACCCGGCTGTGAAGCCGCAAGCTGTCACAGCCAGGTGCCCACACTGAGGATGCCGGCCTCTGGAATACAGGACGGCCGGTGAAACGGGCTGTGTGGCGGGGGCAACGCGGGATCGTGGGACAGGTGAGTGGCTGCTTTTTAAAAGTCAGCAGATACAGTTTTTGTAGCTGCTGACTTTTACTTTTTTACAGGGTGAATGGATGAATGGAACTCCGACTTAATCCCTTTCTGCCAGTGACAGCCGGCCCTTTAAGGGGATTTTAAAATGTGGGGGGGGGGGGGGGGCAGTAGATGGTTTACCAATCACTGTGATTGGCTATCACACTGAACATGTGATCAAGACCCTGTCCTACCTGCTCCCAGTTGTCACCAGTGATGTGGTCACAGTGCTAGGGGTGCACAACTGAGCATGCTCCCAGCCCATGACGGTGATGCTGGCTGTATGCGTAGATACAAGTACATGCATACTGTCGGTGGGAAGGGGTTAAGTCCCCTAAAATTTCATGAAACGGCATTGGTTGGTTCGCCGTCAGCTGACCTTCACTCGGATGTAGAGGAAGCTGCTCTGTTTGTTGGCTCCCTTGGAAGATTCCAGATTGAAGTGTGTTGCAGCCCCCCGACTTCGCCAGCTGTGCAGACTTCACCACGTAGTCGTGATCCACCCGGATAAAGCCAGCCTGGAGGAAAAGAAAAAAATACATTACTGAAATATTCTGCCATGGTGGGATTGCCTGTCAAATTTGAGATTTGTTGCTTCTACTAATAGTAAACCTAGAAAGGAGTGAAAATATATCCATGCATGTAGTCTGATCTCTCCGGAACCTCCATCCTCCTGCCAGAGACCCCTCTAGTGAGATAAAGATCTATATAGAGGAATCGGGACCTCCTTCCTCCTGGGACCCCTCTAGTTATATAAAGATCTATATAGAGGACTCGGGACCTCCTTCCTCCTGCCGGTGACCCTCTAGTTATATAAAGATCTATATAGAGGACTCGGGACCTCCTTCCTCCTGCCGGTGACCCCTCTAGTGATAGGATCTATATAGAGGAATCAGGACCTCCTTCCTCCTCCTGGTGACCCCTCTAGTGATATAAAGATCTATATAGAGGAATTGGGACCTCCTTCCTCCTGCCGGTGACCCTTCTAATGATATAAAGATCTATATAGAGGAATCGGGACCTCCTTCCTCCTGCCGGTGACCCCTCTAGTGATATAAAGATCTATATAGAGGAATCAGGACCTCCTTCCTCCTGCCGGTGACCCCTCTAGTGATATAAAGATCTATATAGAGGAATCAGGACCTCCTTCTCTGGCCGGTGACCCCTCTAGTGATATAAAGATCTATATACAGGAATCAGGACCTCCTTCCTCCTGCCGGTGACCCTCTAGTGATATAAAGATCTATATACAGGAATCAGGACCTCCTTCCTCCTGCCGTGACCCCTCTAGTGATATAAAGATCTATATAGAGGAATCAGGACCTCCTTCCTCCTGCCGGTGACCCCTCTAGTGATATAAAGATCTATATAGAGGAATCAGGACCTCCTTCCTCCTGCCGGTGACCCCCCTAGTGATATAAAGATCTATATAGAGGAATCAGGACCTCCTTCCTCCTGCCAGTGACCTCCTCTAGTGATTATAAAGATCTATATAGAGGAATCAGGACCTCCTTCCTGTTTCTGGTGACCCCTCTAGTGATATAAAGATCTATATAGAGGAATCAGGACCTCCTTCCTCTTTCTGGTGACCCCTCCTGCAGCTGTCTCCCTCCTCCCGGGGCAGAATGGCTCCCGCTGCTGTCAATCAAATGCCGTGCTGAGCCAGCAGGGGCAGAGCCAAGCCGCCCGTCCATGTCAATGGATACAGACAAACTGCCTCGGGAGCAAGCCCACACTGGTGCCCCCATGGAAAAGCGGCTTTCCTTGGAAGCACCCACCGAATAGGAGGAACCTGTAGCGCCAGCAGGGGACCCCAGAAGAGGAGGATCTGGGCTTCTCTGTGCAATACCGCTGCACAGAGCAGGAAAGTATACAATTTTTTTTTATTTTAACTAAAAAAAGAACAAAAAAAACCCCTGAAGGTTTAATGTTGCTTTAAGTGCGCACTTAGAAATCTTTATGTACATATTATGTGGAATTGTATCAAAGCATTTGTTGAATTCAAGATTTATTTCAGACTTTGTCCAAAGCACCACCCTGTTCCAACACATTCAACCTGATTATTCTGACATCAGGAAAGCCATGCTGCTTTGTATCATTCGGTGTTTTTAAAATTCACTTTTTCAGGAAATATTCCATTAATGTTACTTCTATCGATGTTAAACTTACTGGCCTGTAGTTGTCAGCTTCTTCCTCGCTACCGGGGGCGGACTGACAACTCATGGGGCCCCCCGGGCAATAGGGGATCATGGGGCCCCTGTGTCCTTGCCCAAACTCAAAAAAGCCTATGAAAAACGTACCAGGGGCACCTCATGGGGCCCCCTACTGACCCCGAGCCCTCGAGCAGTGCCTGAGTTTCCAAATGGTCAGTCCGCCCCCGCTTGCTACCCTTCATGTCAACAGGCACAACTGTCTGCCGGTAATGAGGAACGTCTCCCATTGGAAGAAGAAGATGATTAAAAAGCTCAGTTAATGGTCCCACCATTTATACCCCAGAATTCTGATAGAACCCTGGTATCAGGACCAGGACAAGGGGTGGGCAGGAGGGGCAGCGGCCCAGGGCTCAAGAGAGAGTTTCTGGTGTGTTGGAGCATATTGGAAAATAATGTCAATTTACAAATTTCAAGAAGAATTACAAACCATTTGCATTAAACTGTATCTGACGCCAATATTGTATCTTGGTTTTGGATGGAGTGTGAAAAGAACAATTCGAACAATTGGAAGAAAATAGATCCGGGAGCACTCACAGCGTCCTGTTTCTTCATTTGCAGCCAAACAAAGGCTAAAAAACAATGGAGAGTTTATCTTGCCAAGGATCGTCTCCTGCGCAATAAGCAAAGCGCGTAGATGGCGTGGAAAACGGTCATTGGCTGGATAAATGGAACGGTTCTCAGCCCGTGTTTTGTTGCAAATAAAGAACCGGTTTGCCGTGAGTGTTCCCGAATCTTGCTTTCTTTAGATGGCTTTAATTCTGATCGGTAGGACACTGTTGGGAGATTGGGGGGGCACTATGGAAGGCACTACAGGAGGCTGGTGGGCACTGCACTGTTGGGGTTGAGGGCTCTCAGGGAACCTGAGGGCACAGTGGGGGGCTGGACAGCACTGTTGGCATTGAGGGCTCTCAGAAGACCTGGAAGCATAGTGGGGGGGGTTGGACAGCACTGCTGGCATTGAGGGCTCTCAGGGGACCTGAAAGCACAGTGGGAGGGTTGGACAACACTGCTGGGGATGAAGGCTATCAGGGGGGCTAGGGGTACAGTGGGGGGTTGGACAGCACTGGTGCGGTAGAGGGCTCTCAAGGGGCCTAGGGGCACTGTGGAGGGTTGGACTGCACTGATGGGGTTGAGGGCTCTCAGGGGACCTGGAAGCACAGTGGGGGGGGGGGTTTGGATAGCACTGTTGGGGTTGAGGGCTCTCAAGGGGGTCCTAGGGGCACTGTGGAGGGTTGGACAGCACTGGTGGGGGGTTGAGGGCTCTCAAGGGGCCAAGGAGCACTGTGGAGGGTTGGACAGCACTGGTGGGGTTGAGGGCTCTCAGGGAGCCTGAGGGCACAGTGGGGGGGTTGGACAGCACTGTTGAGGTCTCTCAAGAGGCCTAGGGGCACTGTGGAGGGTCGGACAGTACTGTTGGGGTTGAGGGCTCTCAGGAGGCCTGAGGGCACAGTGAGGAACTGGACAGTACTGTTGGGGTTGAGGGCTCTCAGGGGGCCTGAGGGCACAGTGAGGAACTGGACAGCACTGTTGGCATTGAGGGCTCTCAGGGGACCTGGAAGCACAGTGGGGGGTTGGACTGCACTGTTGGGGTTGAGGGCTCTCAGGGGGCCTGATGGCACAGTGGGGGGCTGGACAGCACTGTTGGCATTGAGGGCTCTCGGGGGACCTGGAAGCATGGGGGGGGGGGGTGGACAGCACTGCTGAGGTTGAGGGATCTCAGGGGGCCTAGGGGCACTGTGGAGGGTTGGGCAGCACTGGTGGGGTTGAGGGCTCACAGGGGGCCTGGAAGCACAGTGTGGACGTTGGACAGCACTGTTGGGGTTGAGGGCTGCCAAGGGGCCTAGGGGCCCAAACTTTGGGCCCTGAGCCAGGAGTGATTTTGCACTTGCATTTTGTCACACGACACGTGCCACATTTCAAAGCATTTTTTTTAAGTCCAGAGGTGAGCATTGAGGCGCCATTCACATCTCAGAGTTTATGATTGTGCGGCAAACTGCAGAAAAGGCAATCTTTGCCTTGTGTCTTGGAAATGCACTGCAACGCACATCAGGCTTCTGTTCCTTCCAGGTCACGGCTCATGCGCATATACTTTTCGGAAAAAAACGATCGTACGATTTGACCATCATTGAGTCGAAAATCGGTCGTTTTTCATGAAATTTCCAACATGCCCAATCACCAAAAAGTCCAATATCCAATTCCTTCCATTGATACATTGTATCCATTTCCTTCCATTGATACATTGTATCCATTTCCTTCCATTGATACATTGTATCCAATTCAATCCATCAATACACTTTGTCCAATTCCTTCCATGGATACAATGTATCCATTTCCTTCCATGGCTACATTGTAACCATTTCCTTCCATGGATACATTGTAACCAATTCCTTACACCGATACATTGTATCCATTTCCTTCCATCGATACATTGTACCACCATTTCCTTCCATCGATACATTGTATCCATTTCCTTCCATTGATCCATTGTATCCATTTCCTTCCATCAATACATTGTACCCATTTCCTTCCATCGATACATTGTATCCATTTCCTTCCATTGATCCATTGTATCCATTTCTTTCCATCTATACAGTGTACCCATTTCTTTCCATCGATACATTGTATCCATTTCCTTCCATCGATACATTGTACCCATTTCCTTCCATCGATACATTGTATCCATTTCCTTCCATCGATACATTGTATCCATTTCCTTCCATTGATACCCAATTCCTTCCATGGATACATTGTATCCATTTCCCTTCCAGCGATACCATTTTCCTTCCATCAATACACTGTGTTCAATTCGTTCCATTGATACATTGTGCCCATTTCTTTCCATAGATACATTGTATCCATTTCCTTCCATTGGTACATTGTATTCATTTCTTTCCAGTGCTACATTGTACCCATTTCCCTCCATCGATACATTGTATCCATTTCCTTCCATGGGAACGCAGGACTGTTTATTATCCTTCAAATCATTTGTGCCAATACAATTCTCTGATTATTTTGTTACCTCTCAGGGGACCGGCCTCCGGGGACGCCGCAGTTTTGTCCACCGCGATTCTCACACTCGTACGAAAATTCCTGCACAGCTTTGTCCAGCCGGCCAATCGGGAGCCGCGCTACCCACGCTGCCGCCTGGCAACCTCTTGGCTGGCCAAGGTGTAATTTGATTAAAGCGAGCCTCTAATTTCCCCGGCTTTACTTCTGCATTAAATGCGGCTTAATGGAGCCCCAGCCATCCTCCATTGTCTGCGGGAAATTAAAGTGACACAAATACCCGCCGCTCCCTTCCCCGA